GTTTCTTTAACGTCTCATTATGTTGTATAAGAATGAGGCCTATATTTAAGATCCCTTCATTTTAAGTAGTGGTGGTGTCCACCTGAGGTTGGTTAAAATACATGCTTGAGTTTAAGTATTAATTAGTTTAGTTGACAAAAGTTTAAGGACTTAATCAAATCCCGTCTTTGATGCAGGAAGGAATCTTAAAAAAAACTAATTACAATTCGAGTTTTTAATTCTAATTTTGTTATAATTAAAAGTTCTCACAAAAAGTTACATTTAACTTTTTTTTGCTACAGTTAAAAACTCTAACATAAAGTCACATCTCAACTCAAATCGAAAACTCAAATAGGTGAACTGGATGAGACCTAAAAAAATAAAAAAATAAAAGAAGAAGAAGCCAAACTCTAGTATTTTCAAGTTGTAAATGTAGGCATCATCTCACCAATTCGAGTTTAAAATTTAATTTTTGTTACAGTAAAAAGCTATCAGAAACAGTCATATCTAACTTTTTTACTACAGTAAAACGCTCTTACATAAAGTCACATCTCAACTCGAATTAAAATTCGAATAAGCGAACTAAATAGACCCATAATATGTACTCTTGTGTATTCAAAGCTAGTGCTGAAACTTTAGATGAGCCGCCCGCAACTGCCCGAAAAAATCAATTTTGTGCCTGATGCCCGACCCGACTTGCCTGAAATTTTTGGACCCCCCGCTCGAGCCCGAGGAGGCCCGTGGACAGGCTGCATGACTGGTTTTGGCTGCCCGAGCCCAAGCCTGCCCGAAATGCCTAAAAAATATGTTTTTATATTTTTATAATATTGTATAGATATATTTTATATAATATACTATTATTTAGTAATAGTATTTGTATATAAATAATTATTAAGTTATTTTGTGTTAAAATTATATAAAAACTAAAATCAACATTCAATACACATTATTAACACAATTTAATATATTAATGTTTAAATTCGTAATTCATGATTGCCTCGTTAAAAACCTTACCAAGAAAAACCTAATTGGGATAAAAACTTGGTAAGAAAAAACGAGTGCAATCATTTTGTGACGAATTATAAATTTTACAAACTTACAAAGTCTAAATTTACAATTGCAATGTCGAAAGCAAATACATATTTACAAATTATAATTTAATTTGAAGCTGAAGGATTGTTATCAAAATTAAATGTTAATATATTAAATTCATCGATCCATTCTTAACTTGTCGGTGAAATTGTATCCTGTAAACGTTGATCGGCACAACCCCCATCCTTAATGCAGACCAAGGCTTCAACAATATCCTTTTGCAATGCGTTTCGGCATTCAAGTCGTCCGGTCGTACTGAAGGCTTATTCGGATGAAACAGTGGAGACTGGGATAAAAAATATATCCATTGTCAATCGAGTTAGGATTGGCCAAGTTAATACTCGTGCCCTCCACCATTGAACTAAGTCAAACGATTCTCTAGTACTATCGACTACTAAGCTCTCACTGAGGTACGCTATAAGCTCGTTGAAGCCACCACTGCCACCTATTGATGAAGATCTACTCTCAGCTTCTATTTAAGTCGTCTTCTTCTTATTCTTTAACCCGAAAACATTCAAGAATGAATACGGGTTTTCATCTTGTTGTTGCGGTTCATGTACTCCAAAGTTTGTGTTTCTAAACCTATTCTCATATTTACTATAGATCGAAAATATTTTTGCCTTTATTATTGAAAATTGGTCAGAACAATTGATGCCTAAAAATTCACCTAAGTTTTCTAAACCACTTTCTAAACTGTCTTATTTTAATCTATGATTAAAAATAATACCGAAACCATACAATTAAGGCAAGTTAGACTAATATTTTTTAAAATTTATTTTCCATAGAAGCGATAGGAACTCCTAAGATTGGGTCCGCCCTAAATTTACTAAATAAAAATACTAATTCTTAAAAGTTAACCTAAAGCTAAAGGTGATGTTGGGTAATATGTTCTACTAAGTTATAAAGTAATTTCATGAAACCTACCTAAAAATTGATACAAAACTTCGGCAATTTGTCAATCATATGCGTCTATATGTCATATTCCTAATTTTGCACAGATATAGTTTGTTATAGCATCCTTATAGGGGATGCATTGTTGAAGCATAATATAAGTTGAGTTCCATCTTACAGGAGGTAGATTTAATGCTTGTAAGAACCTAAATCAATCTTGTTCTCTTTGGTTACTACCTTAAATCCATGCAATACTATCTCTAATTCTTTTAATGTGAGTACCCAATTCTTTTAAACTGGATTTAACTATTAAATTAATTACGTGGCATGCACAACGTTGGTGAAAAATAGTACCATCACCGAATAAACTTAAATCATTTTCGAAGTACTTAATTGCTTTAGTATTTGCACTAGCATTATCTAATATTATAGCCATTACTTTATCTCTTAATTTAAATTCATCAATTACATTTAAAATTGTATTATATATTAAATCGGCACTATGTGATCTAAAACACATTTAAAACCTAATATTCTCTTATCTAAGTCGAATCCTTTAAAGTAATGTCTGGTTACAGGTAAATAATCTTTATTGGCAACGGCAGACTAAATATCTATCATTAACGCAACGCAACCGCTAGTCGAGTGTAAAAGGGTTATTAATGCTTCTTTTTATTTTTTAAATAATTTTAACAAATTTTTCCTAAGAGTAGTTTTTGAAGTGAACTGTGCATTAGGATTATGTACAACTTTAATATATCGTTGCCAATTAGGATGTTCTACAAAACTAAGTGGTTGATCTAATGCATCTATCATTCACGCAACTTCTATACGATCTACTTGCGGATCGTATTTCCAAGTGGTTAGCCCACCGGTTGTGCAATCAAAACATAATTGTGTTTGACGAAGTTCGGCTCCGTCGGACTGGCTAAGCTTTTGAAGATACTCTTCAGAGTGTCTTCTCAAGTGTGTTGTGCCGTGAATAGTGTCACCTTATAATTTAGATAAACAATATTTACACTGAGCTATATGTTTAGTGTTACCTTCATTGTCGATCTCTTCAATTGTGTCGAAGTGATCCCAAACTGTCTAGGTGCGCTTGTATTTCCTCCTGGAGGTTGCAACACTTGCAGATGCAGTAGCACTTGCACTCACCTCTTCTCTACGCCCACCGCCATTACGACCACGACCTGTAATACGTCCACTAGGGCTCGGATTAGTAGATTCTTGCGTAATAAATTTATTAGTGGGAAATTGCCCTTCCAACACGTTGTGTTGGGTATCAACGGGAATACCACTATAACAAAAAGAACCCATTATAAACAAATAAGAGCGATTTGAGAGATAGTTTTAGTATATTGTGATAGTTTTTAGAAAAATTATGAGAGAGATTGAGAGAAATTGAGAGAAATTGAGAAGGATTGAGAGAGTTTGGGTGAGAAAAATACGTGGGGGATATGGGGTATTTATAGAGAAATTTTTGGGTTAAAAAATTGATTTTTTTTCCCATAAATTCAGATCCAACAGTTATTTTTTTCTCGGTGGGTCGGGTTCGGACCGAAAAATCGAGCAACGGTAAAAAATATAGCCGTTGGATACAGGCAATTGGGGCTTCAGGTCGGGTCGGGCACCAACGGTCAAAAATATATCCGTTGGTCGGGCTTCGGGCCATAAAAAATTCAAAAAAATTACGGCAGACGGCGATATCACGGCAGCAGGCTCCGGCGAATTGTCAATTTTTGGGCAGCTCAAGCTCGAGCCTGAAAAATGGAGTTGAACAGACCGGATTTTGGACCTGCCCGCAGAGCCTGAAAAATTCAGGCTTCGGGCTGGCTCGCCGGCCTAAAGTTTCAACATTATTCAGAGCTTCAACTGAAGATGGCTAACGCCACTGCACGTACTGAAGATTGAACTGACAGCCACTATGCAATATGCACATTGACTTTGCTATCACCACTTATCACCTTCAAGTCTCGAGGATCACGAAGAGGGAACCAAAAGAATAAATAATTAACAATTTACTAATTTATCTGCAATAATTACTACCTTGGCATTAAAAAAAACAGATTATAGTAAGTTTAAAGATGGATTGGCAATTTTAAAATAAGATTCACGGATATCATCAATGGAGTGTTGTAGTGGTTTTTTTTTTTTTTTTTTCCTTAAATGAGTTTAAGGATCGATGTTTCATTTTCTCATTTCAAAATTCTTACTCAGTCAATAACAATAAACCGCGCAGTGTTGAGCTTATAATCTAGAGGTATTTAGAAGTGAAATTAGCTCATCTTTTGATACAAATCATTTTCGTTAAGTTCAATATATGACAGAGATAGGGACAAGATAATACGATTAATTCTTTTTATTTTAGATTAATTATAAAAATCTCTCCTGAAATATTACTATTGTAATACTTTATTCATGTTCTGTAAAACGTAATATATCTCCTTCCCTCAGTTACATTGACAGAAACAATACGTGTCAAAGATACAATAATAGTCGTTGAGGAATTCAGTACAAAATTACCCTTTTACCCACCAATCATAATTTACATACATAATTATTTTTTACAAAAGATCCTAAATTACTTTTAATATGACAAAATAAAAAAATAAAAAAAATACTTCATCGTCTTCCTCTCACTAAAAACACTCCAACAATTTGTTCTAGTTCTTCCCCACACCGTAGCCGGCGTACGGCTCTTTCCCCGACACCGGCTTCCCCCACCCAATGATGTCGCGAACTTCCTCTCTTCCTCCGTCAAACAAACTAGTGCTCCATGATCTCACCTCCCTCCGACTCTTGTAATTGACTCTCTGGCCCAGATCTCTCCTCCACCGGTGTCATGAAAATCAATCAAGGGCTTCTATAAGTGATCCGCATAGATCAGATTATCCATGTGTTTTGCAGCTTCATCTATTAGAAAAGGGGATCTCTGGGCATCT